TCATGGGTATTGGTGTGTACATTGGTCGCACTAAGTTGTTGTGCACTGTACGTTTTCAAGCTCAGCAGTCCCTTGATAAACAGTTTATCACTTATTATTTTCAGTGTTTGTCGTTCAATTTTTTTCCCCATCACGAGCACGTGAATAAAATCTCGAGTCCACCTGCGGTTGCCTCACGTGTTTATCCACGTGCTCGTGATGAGAATGTTTTTTTTATCGACAAACACTGAAAATAATGTGTGATAAACTGTTTATCAAATCCTCAGTCTGCGACATACCTAAACATACAGAGGATTTAAAATATAAACTTTAGTTTAATTTTACAACAATTATGAAACAAGTTATTATACTTTATAATAATCACTCTTGTTGGCTCAGATGTTAGCGCCCGGGGTCTTATTGTGGGAGGAAACCAGGGTACCCGTAGAAAAACCCACTTGGTCTGGCAGGTGACCCCATACCTTTTCACGTCCGATCCGAGGAAACGAAACCCGGTCCTCATTTCTTATGTGAAAAATAATAAAAGTTGAATTAATTCATTGACAGAAAATGTGCTGCATATAAAGTTAAAGGAAGAAAAGAGAAATAATAAAAAAAAATATAATAAAATATCAAAAATATGCTACATTACAAAACACTTTAACAACGTAGAAGTAGTATGATATGTTTAGGATTGCAGCGAACATTATTGAAATGATAAATCTGACGCTTTGATAATAAACGAGAAACATTTACGTTAGTAAACAACTCTTACAGTTCTTAAGGAACAGCCCCTAGCAAAGTAGTAATAAAGCAATCACGTTCTAAAGTGTCAACATATACATATACAGCAACTGGATAGTGATTCACATTTTTTGTAAGGAAAAAATCCCGTTGATCTACAATATCGGGATGGCGACAATCAATGCAAGAATGTGCTAAAGCATCTTCAGCATAACAATTACATTTTAAACATAATAATTGACAATCCGGACTAATTGTCCATAACTTTGCAATTTTCTGACAAAATAAGCCATATCGAGCATTTGAAAACCTCCAGAAAAAGTACAGTGGTGACGGTACTAGAAAAGTCTGAAGAATTTTGAAACGACTTAAGTCATTGATGGCATTCAAGCGAGTTTTCCAATCGTCCTCCTCCTTATTCAAAACTGTTCTTTTAACAATTTGTTTCCACTGAACCTTCTTCGGGAATAATTTTGTAGATCATACTTATGTAAAATAGACCATACATTTGGAATTACACCATCGGTACTCTTGTAAATATGATAATATTTGTGTAATAAACGCAATAAAAATAGTTGCTTAATGGCACTATATGGCATAATATTGCACAACGATCCTAAAAAATGAGTTTACAATGTAACTCATAATAATCACTCTTGTTGGCCCAGATATTAGCGCGCGGGGTCTCATTGTAGGAGGAAACCGGGGTACCCGTAGAAAACCCACTAGGCCGGGCAAGTGACCCCATACCTTTTCACGTCCGATCCGGGGAAACGAAACCCGGCCCCCCTGACGAAAGTTAAGTGCGCTATCCACTGCACCACTCGACCACATAAACAGAATATTTGCGCGGAGGAATTCCATAAACTATGGACTTAAGTTGTTGTGCATTTTATATAAAAGTTGAAGTTTTCTTCTGTCCTTAAATGACCATAGCTGTTTATAGGACGTTAATAAATTAAAACCAAACCAAACCAAACGTTTTTAATGATTTGAAAGAGTTTCTAAACCTGTTTCAAAATGTAAATCTTCGATACGGGCATATGAAAGAAGGGCGGATATAATTCGGACAGGTTCTCTTTGGGCTTTCTCTAACTTTTCTGTTTCAAATTTACTACAACTATCCCATAATACGCAAGCATATTCTAAAACTGGTAAATTGAATGACTTATAAAAAATTTAAAATACTATTTCTATTTAGCAAATATTTCAATCTTTGTAAGACGTTAATTTTCTTCATTACTCAACTATAAATGGCATTAATATCCCCCCCCCCCTTCCGCTTGAATTAAAAACTACTCCAAGGTGCTTATGATGGTCTGTAAGATTTTAATCTTTTCCATCAAATTTCAAATCTAAATCTTCATCGAAAGTGCGGTTTTTATTATGCCCAGCGAGACCCATAATCGTTACCAAGCAAGGACAAACTAAAATGTCGAGACTTCCTTATAAACGATAGTAGGAATAGATAGGGAGTGTATCAAAACCAGAATTTTTAAATCTCAATTGAAAGTTTTTTAATTTACATTGTCAGCATTAACTAGCAAAGAAAAACAAACTTTTTACACAACATGAATATTAAAGCAGATGTGATATTTTATCATAAAGTATAACAATATCTAGTTGAACCAGGGACCGTTACATAAGGCGCCCAAACTAACCATGTAGACGCAAATGATGCTTCAGAAAATGATAACAATCCCATAATACATCTGCATACCAAATCTAAACAAAATCGGTCAATATCTAAATGTCGACCAATCAAGATTCGACCTTACACGGACATTTTGTCTAAAAAAACCAAAGCAGGTCGCAGTAGTGTTCGTAGTAACATTGCACACTTTAACGCAGAATTTAAGGGTTATCGTAGAATGCGTAATTTCGTAATCAGAAGATCAGTCTGAAGCAGCCATATTTTTGGAGGATATTGACTTTAATTTTGCCATATTCAAGAACAACATCGAAACATTCCATTACTATTTATTGCGGTTCATAAAACAGAACAGAAACAAGTACTTATTGTAATACGATTACAGATGTCCCCCTAACTTCCCCCATAGTCGCAAAGATGCATCAGAAAATAATCGCATTGCCATATTACACCTACAATGTACATACTAAATTTTGGTGAAATTGAGCAATTTCTAAATTGCGACCAATCAGAAGCCTCCATGTGGTTGCTATTGCAACGAAACGCATGTGATTGAATTTGCAGTCCCCTTATACTCTATATACCGATTTTCATCAAAATCGAACAATAACTAAATTTCCACCAATCAGAAGCCTTCGTGTGGTTACTATATGGTTGTTATGGCAACGGAATACATATGATGGAATTCGCAGTCCCCTAATATCCCTCTGTACCAATTTTAATCAAAATCGAACAATATCTTAATTTCGACCAACCAGAAGCCTCAGTGTAGTTGCTATGGTGACGAAACTTATGCGGTTTTATTTGCAGTCCTTAATACCCCTACTTACCAATTTTCAACAAAATCGAACAATATCTAAATTTCGACCAATCAGAAGCAGTGGCGGCCAGCTTCGTTGACCGTTCAGAAAATGAAAGGTCATTTGCACACCCCCTGACCATGATGAGCACTTGTGTAAAGTTTCATTTAGTTCCATCCAATAGTTTTTGAGAACCCGATGATAATAATACTAAGAAGAAGAAACGGAGTAAAACCGATAAGTCCCCCACTTCGTTTGAGGGACTTAATAATAAGAAACGGATCAAAAACAATAAGTCCCCAACTTCGTTTGGGGGACTGAATAAGAAACTGGGTAAAAACAATAAGTCCCCCACTTCATGTTTTAGGAGTTTAGATCGACTTTCGGTAAAAATGACCCCCCGCCCAAAATTATTAAACATGTTTAACGGGTTTAGATCTACATTCGGTAAACATAATATTCACGTTCAATGGTTTTTACTCTGAACACCTTAGGTTAGGTCCAAATATAGGTGTAAATTAATAATAAATTATCAGGTCCCTGTGGTCAGAATTTGGCAAGGAACATAACCTAAACCTAACCAATTGTCAGATTCGTTAATGAATTTTGATGCATTTGGAGTGACATTAATGGCTTTTAGTCCTGGCCTAGTTGAACTATAGAAAGAAATTATAACCATAGTTCTACACCTACAGGTGGTGAGAGAACGTTAATGGCGTCCATTGTTAATGCTATTTGGTATCTAATTTTAGAATGTCAATTAGGTTTCCAGTATAATAATGTTATACTTTCTTATATAAAAAAGGATTCAGTGATTTATTTTCAGGTGTACCAAAGTATAAATCCTCTTTATAAAAATGCAAGAGGCTTGCTTCAGAGAAACCCCTGTGACGTTTGGTAATGTGATCGAATCGGCGTGTTTACCTGTGTACATACTTCACTCTTTGACTGATTTAAAAACTTTCCATTAGTACTCGCTTATACATAAGGTCATGAAGAGAATTGAAGTTGGAAAAGGCGTTAACAGTTCATATTTATCAAACGAATCGGTCACTGGGAGAAAAAAAAACAACCTTAGAATTCTGTCTCCCCAGAGCTTCACATACACAGTGCAAGGGAAACAACTCTTAAATATTATAAGTATTAGATCACAAACCTGGCAAGGAACGGTGCAAGGGGAATAACTCGTACAACCATTGTGGAGATCTAAAGACGTCGCAGAAACCGAAATCGATTATCTTCATTAACATCATGTAAGAATTATATTTAACTCATTTACCACTGAATACACATTTTGAGCTCTTCCAATTCGAAGGCTGGAATAGTCCATTATGAAATTCTAGGGGTGAATGAGTTAATATCATTATACGGACAAGTTTTCGGTGGCGAATTTTCTTCTCAACATGAGGACACGTGATACAAATATATGACGAAATCAACCTTGTGTAGAATAAACAATGTATCAGATATAACACGGTACAAAAGGAGTTACGTCATTTGTAGTCACCTAGCGGAGAATTTTTAAAGGGCGGGTAATCTGTATGAGTATTTTAATCAAATGCTTATATGACATCGAATTGATTAAAACATAGTGAACATGGAAATATAATTATTAATTTGTATTCATGAAAAAAGGAAAGATTATTGGGCTTACAGGGATATTTTCGTATTTTTTTTAAAAATAAGGCTCCGATAAGAATTTGCTTCACCCTAAATTAAATCAATTTAAATTAAAATTTAAAAATTTAAAATTTTAATTAATCAAAGCATCATCATCTATATATATATACTATTAAATATATAAAATATATAAAATATTTGTGGATTTCACGTTATTGTTTTGTATTGATCTAGGTGATGAAAATGGTATATTATAAGGAAATAAATGATAAAAATAGACTATATCAAAGCTACATGTATATGACAGGACTGTATATATTATACAGGTAATGTGGGAGAATACAGGTAAAAACCAGGTTAAAATAGATACGAAACAGACTATAACTGCTATCACAACATTACTGCCTCTATGCTTTTTTTTTTTTAAAAGTGGGAGAAAGGAGAACACACCGTTTTTACATATGTCAAATAACGATAAAGGCTTATTATAGAATTGATATCAGAGTGGCCATTGACATTCGAGGTAGATAGATAAAACGGTGTGCCCGGTGGCGAATTCCGGTAGGTTTTCATGCGATAGTAATTGAAAATATACAATGTAGTTAAAACATAAAAGACAGTTATGGTTTTCCATAGTTATAGCGAAGTTTAATTTATATGTTAGATTTTTTTAAACAGAGTTCAAGTTTTCTAAGGCTAGAACCAAAATTTGGTGTTACTTGTTTCATCATATAATTGACTTGTATTCCCACTAATATGATTTTAATCAACATTGGAACTTTTAGAACAAAACTTTACCCCTCTCTCGTGAGTCCATATTGAACTGTCATATTAGCATGTTGATAAAAGCCAAAAAGATGGTTTAATAAAAGGGATCACTGAAGTTTAAAGAGGTTGAGAAATTCCTGGTGTGTCTTGGCGTGTACCTGAAGATATATTCCACGTATAGGTTAACGTGACGGGTGATTTCGGGCTGATTATGCTTACACGTATAAAGAATATATTGTGGCAAAATAAGCACTTCTGTGTTATTGATTCAATGTACATTTTTTATGACGACCCCTGTGAAGTGTATGTATGGTTTGTGATCAGAATTGTCGAACGCATACGTCTGTAATCTGTTGAAGTATTGATCAATAATCATCTGTTTCTCGTCCTCCGTTCGGGAAACGGACAATCCCTCGTGTAAAACGTGATGCATCCATGGGTAGACTGTAGCAACTATACCGCGGGAATATTCCAGCTTTTCTGCCTCATCTGTAATATAGCGAAAATAATAGGGATACACAATTTTATTTATTTGTGAATCACTTTCTGTTGTTTAAAGTTTTGACAATAATGTGTGACATTTCTTTTTCAATCCAATTGTTAATAACGCGAAGAGGATGTGAAGGAGATCACCAAAGCCTAGTGTGCCGCCCCTGTCGTAAACTTGAATGTGTCATTTTACGGGGAAAACTGAGTTCGAGCATGAAAACTGTTTCACGAACATGGACCTTGGAACATGAAATCTGTTCTTCTAAGGGCTGAGCTCAATACAACCGTATTATAACCACAGTCGTTTGTACAACACCATTATAATGTCTGTAAGTACAACGTTAAATATATGCTATCTGGGATCACAATTTAACCAATACTGAGATATTCTATTGTCTTAGACTCACCTTGTTTCTTTAGTTCACATTAATGGTCATATGCGTTAATACGTCTTACCTTTGTTGACAATATCGAATGTTGGGTGTTTAAGATAGTGTCTCATTGATTTCACTGACACCAGTTCCAGTCCAAGTTCCCCTACCTCAGGTATACCACTGGTAAATGGCTCCTTAAAATCAGCTGCCGTTCTCAGATAATAGCTATTATAGTTTGTTGCCAGATATTCTTCCTGTGGATGTAAATTACCAGTATTAATATGGAGTAATATTGGTATTGTCTCTTTTTACAAGATATTTCAATGGTTTAGTTTTTAATTGGTGACACCATAGACAAACTACGTGGAGCAGTCGCCAGATACTGACTGCAGGTACTTCAATTTTCCTTCATCCACAACCAAAACCTGGTACGTCCCATCTTCGCTAGCCAAGTGTTCGCTTCGTATACACTCCATTTACACTTGGCGGATATAGCCGTGTTTACCGAGCCTTCAAATGTTCGTGCGGTGCCAATCGTTCGAATCCAATGATCGAAATCGCGTCTTACATATAGCGCTGTAGACGAAGAAAAACAGTAATGGTGACGCCCTGTACGTTGTCTTTTATGTCAGAGTGTTTTGCCCCAAAAAATAGGCGCATGATCTTTTTGGAAACTTCTGGATTTTCTAAAATGACAATATCTGTTAACATAACGCAAGGCAAAAACAAACAATAGAAAAAATACTATCTTTGCGGGCATATAAATGGTTTTCTCGGGTTGACAATATCCACTGTCACCTGCTAATGCATGTCATATTTATATAATGTATGATCAAAACATCGCAAGTACATATATATGTCATTAGCATTTTTCATTCCACAAGTTGTTTATAATATTTAATGTATTTTGATTGTTTTGGTAACCTGCAAAAACACACTAAAACCGTACTCGTAAGAACGATAACGTACATAAAACACAACACCAGTGTTCGACATGGGGCGAAGATAAAATCGAATTAAGGTTATTCCGTCTTTGTGTATTGCAGAGTTATCTTCTCCTGGGAGCAGGTATTGATTGTTCCGTCATTGGTTTGTGCGAGAAAATTACGTGGTTTCTCAAAAATTGATAACGTTACTCTCACAAACAAGTGACGTAACAATCAATAATTGCTCCCAAGAGAAGATAACTCTGCAATACGCAAAGACGGAATACACGCCCATTAAAAGCTGCTTTAGTCAACCGAAGTGTTACCGTGTGGTAAGCTTGTAAAAGAGAAATTAAGCCTCGCATGACCAAGGTATGTAAATAAACGTCATGTTATATATCATTTCTTTAGCACTAAGATTGGTCGCTAAAGTACGATGGCCGATAGCAGCCGACACAAAACAGCTACAATATAAGACATGTATGTACGTGTACACTTTTAAAAAACTGTACATGTACACATATGTGTTATATTGTAGTTGTTTTGTGTACATGTACAGTTTTTAAAAAGTGTACACGTACATACACGTTTTATATTGTAGTTGTTTTGTGTCGGCTTCTATTGGCCATCGTACTAAAGAGACTCCGTTATAAGTCCGATGAACTATTTTTAGATCAGCCTCACTACCTTATTAGTGACTACGTCATCTGGGCATCGTACCACATTGCAATAGCCAATGTACAAGTTCTATATACTCAAATTACATATTTTAAATTAAGGTCCTTGAATATGACTTATCAGGGGGTTGAAATTTATGGTGACTACAGCATTGTTTAGGGGGTTGTTGAACCTTAAGTTACTGATCCAATATAGAGGAAAAGAAAAAGTTTTTATAAAACACGGATTGATAAAACATTGATAATAATTAAACAAAAAACTAGAACAAATAATGACCAACAAATCTGATCTGAAAAGGGAGTATAAGTAATAAGTAACAGTTTCAAGCTACTTCAACTCTTAAAAAATTTAAAAAATAACTGTCTTTAGGATTTTGTTCCAAATCAAAATAATAACCTTCATAGTAAGGAACATATAGCTGTTTTTATAATGTCTTAAACGAGACTTCATATCATAATCCATTATTATGAATGTACAACTAGAATAGCAACCTACCTGTGTTATAACGCCTTCTCTTGCCATATCCGACACCATGCTTCCCATTTGGAGGAGTCCCTTGTCGACTAGTAACGATGCCTCGCCATTTTCGTCTGATGATATGTTCATCGTGACGAGAAACCCCCCTGAAAGAGGAGCACGTCACTGATTATGGTAGGCAATATATTTCTTGAGCAGTGCTTGAATTGTTGAATACTAGCTGTGAGCGTCGAAAAGGCAGCTCCGGCTGTATGCTCACCACGGAGTTGAGAAAGGTATTGGCTGTTTGCAAAGCTCTATAACCACGGATACTGGTTTGTGAACCGCTTTGAGACTACCTACGAACTAGGTTGCGGTAAAGCGGGATATAGAACCTGGAATTATCTTTATTATTATTATAATGGTTGGCAATATGGTTCTATAGCAGGCTAAACACATACTTCCTCTTAATGGTTTGGGTTTCTTATGATCTGTAGGTTTTGTATGAATGCTGTTATTTCAAATGAACATATTTAATGATATCAAAATAATAAAGTACTGAGTAGCTTTATTTCAGCAAGTTCATTGGTATCTAATGTTACCATTTTGACGTCAGCAATTTTGGGTTTTAACTTATCATCGCTGTCCCTAAGGTTTATCAGGGTGCAATAACATGTGACTGAAGCATTGTTGCAGAGAACATATCGAATACCGTATACCGGAGAACGTCGGCCTATTGAAATATACGCCCTTTTTGTGTAAGTGTTAATTTAATTACTTAATTAATACAGTGACATGCTATTGCTATATAGTATACAAATATTCGCTGTCATACGAAATTCGCCCTCATTGGGACGGGCGAAAAAGGCGAAAGGTAACTGCGGCGAAAAAATTCCGCTATACTAATACCTTATATTCCTTAATGTACATTTAAGGTTTTTATTTAAGTTATTGTTTTCATACTGACAATTAATTACAAAACATAAATCACATACCCGGTTTTAGCTCCCGTCCCCTTGAAATCACAAAAGACCTCCAATCAGCCCTGGCTTGTTCTCTCATCAAACCTCGTTCAATATCATCTGCCTCAGTTAGGAATACACCATTTTTGATTTGACAAACTCTGCAAATAATCGAGTTATGATTTGAAATCGGAAACCAAACTGGTTATAGACAAGTATTATTTTGTCTTGCTCTATAATGAATAACAGAAGCACCTTGCTAGCACTTTGGCTGATGCGCTTATGAATATCGATGGGTTGAATTAAACTTTGATAAATAACATTATGATAATTTAGGAATAGTCAGGAATGTTTATCATTAGATTCGTCGTTTAATTTGATAACTGGAATACTTTGTCTGTTACTACCGATTGACACGTGCTTTTTAGACAAATAATGCGTAGCTACAGCAGACATCGCAAGGTCCAGAGTATTTTCAGGGATACACTGTGCAAACATAGTCCGAGGGACGATCATTGGGTAGACGTTAGTGACACACGTTAGTCCAGAGTATTGTCTTTTGCCTGAATAACACAATATCGGAGTAGTATCGTTTACAATACCAAAAAATATAACATCATATCAAACTACCGGTGCTTTATTTTTGCATAAAAAACAGCAGCATTTTCAAATGATTAAGACAAAGAATGTTGTTTGCTATATATACTCAAGAAATGTGTAGCAATATCTAGGATTACAGTTTATTGTTGCTGACAATAATCAAATAAACATACATTCTCTCACGATTTACTAGTACAATGACTATATATCACACTATTATTGATAGCTTAATGTTGTAGTCAGTATTCTATAATATATATATATCAGCAAGATAACTCGTACTGTGTACATGATCAACCCTACAACTTAGTGCACTGGCTTATCAACTCAACGTGTTTTTTAAGTCAATATTTCTCCTCTCCACATTTTGATATGTTAATGTAACCGTACTTGTTTTAGCACACTCACATTTCAGCGCTCTATCGAATTTTATCAGATGAGCACATTAGGTAATTATAGAAACCTCGATTAGACAAATTATAACTAACTTGTTCACCCCTTAAATTTCATAAAGAACTATTCCGACCTTTGGATTGGAAGAGTTCAAATGTGTCTTCAGGGGTGAATGAGTTAATCGCAACGATTAGAGAGCAAAAACTTGCTAAAATAATATTACCGCTAAATTATGAATGCTTACTGCATATGGCAATCCTTATAATTATTGAAATAGTATTACAGTTAAATTGACCCACTTTCGAAGATTTGTCTGTACATTTATTGAAGGAATTAGGCAAAACTCTAAGCCTGCTTTCCTTTCCCTCTGATATTCTATCTATGCTAGAAATATGTTGGATTATTAAAATGAAATGTTGTTTTAACAAACCTTGGACCACTATGATGCTTTCGCACTTTTCAAAACATTTACAAGTGAAAGCATTGTGTTGTAAAGCAGCCCAAGCTGTGAATCAGATCAAAACAATTACAAAAATAATTGCAAAGTCAACAATGATATTTTAAAACAAATAGTAGTAATATAAAAAGGTTATCTTTTAATCAAGAAATGTGTCCTTATTGTCATAGTAAAATAATGTATTACGATATACAACCTTGGATTACTTTGCTTAGAAGATTGAAGTCGTTCATGGGCTGATCGTTGTAGTACACAATGACATCTTGTTCCTTCCCCAGGTCTGTCTGTATGATATCTGTAAAACAGTTTTATTTTATTTGTACACATACTTTTCATAGAAACTGCACATTATTGATTTTTTGCACAGAGCAATCATTTCAATATGAAAACGACCGTTTTGTAATTGGGCAAACATCTTTGCATGCATGAAAAATGGCGTTTTCGTTTGATATCAGTATAATATATACCTATCATTTCATTGAAGAGGGAAAGAGAAGCGCGTCCGTCTGCAGTTCCAAAATCTGCTATGCTTACTGGTTGTCCTGTCTGATATGCTGGCCTTGACTTGATTATTGTTCCTGTATTAACATAACTACTAATTGTGTACTAACGACTACATACAATTTTCCAAACGATCTTTAATTGTATAATTAAATAAGGATCATTTAATGGCGACAATATATTTAGCTTAGGATTGTTTGAACCTTTTGAAGACATTATCAAAATAAAGCTAGCTTGTTATTGTCGTGTCATGTTCGAATCTATGTCTTAGTATTTCTCATGTGGTGAAACGCCATGACGTTGATATTTCAACAGATTGATTCACAATTTCGAAAAAAATATCAGAATTTATTATTATTACTTTCTGTTTAAGTGTACAAACGTGTTGAAAATTTGTTTTTGATAATTATTTCTTACTTAGACATTCTAAAATTTCCACACGACATAAATTGCCAGCATGGCCGTGGACACTATACATATCGTCCACTTCTTCGGTGATCTTCGACTTTATCTTCATAACCGGATGGTAACTGTAAATAACAGCAATGTCAAATATGTAAACACGACGACATTTAATCAACAACATGAGCCATGATAATTTGATTCCTTTCACCTTATCGCGATAATATTAAGAGGAAATCGTCTCGATACTCGTTTGATTGCAGCAATATTCTAGACGAAACAATAATGCATGGCATATTGTATACTTGTATTGGTATTTCGTACTGAACTTTCGTTAGGAGATACATATTTTCAGTACCTAATCGAGTTTAAGGGTGTTATTTGACTACATAGCACCTTTATACATTATACATACGTATTCTAATGTATTAAGGGAAAGGTAAGTAATATCAATACCATTGTCACTATTAGTGTATGCCCGTTTCAAAATGCTTTATGCGTACTCTTGGTTGTTCGCGGTTGTTAATTGATAAATATAATTTAATTGCGGGGCAGATTGATGGATGAAATATCAAGACCAATATAGTGCAATGTGTAATGTTGGCATGAAACTATATTCTATATATCTGAGCTTTCTGAGTTATGATTATAGTGAGGCTTAATCAATGATTATTTNGGGCAGATTGATGGATGAAATATCCAGACACATAAAGTGCAATGTGTAATGTGGGCATGAAACTATATTCTATATATCTGAGTTTTCTGAGTTATGATTATAGTGAGGCTTAATCAATGTTTATTTAACAATCAATGACTCGATATGATTTTTCGACGTGACAGGTAAAGCTACCGGCATAAAATGCCAGTTCATAATCTAAATAAAACTACATACTCGTACATACCTCGACATTGTCCCGGGTGTTATCCTCCTGATTCGTAATCCTGAGAATAGTTTAAGAATACTTTTATATTAAATCAGTCCGTGATATGAATAAAACTATAGGCGGTAACCACTGTCCTCTCCGTTATAATCCCTACATTAACGAGAGGCCCAGAAGGCATGCTTCGCTCACATGGATAATAAAGCAACCATGGAAAATTATTCTTATTACATAAAATCCATTCAATGGTACAGAAGAAGGATTTTAGATATTAAATCATTAAACTCCCCTGTTGGGCCCAGCAACTCTGCACCCAGAGGGGCCACACACTCCGATTATTCAAAATTCAGTCCCCTTAGCCAAAGGATGCTCCAGGCCAAATTTGGATGAAATCCCTCGAATTGTACAGAGAAGAAGAAGTTATTTTAAAATTTAGACCCCAAGTTCCCCTTGTTTGCACTCCCCCACCCCCCTGCACTCGGAGAGGCAACACTCGATTTAACGTCACGCTACCACAATTGGTACACTACCCACATTGATACACGGTCAGAAAATTGTTCGAATAGTACTTTAAAATTAAATTTGAGCATTTTCCTTTGCCAGTATAACAAAAGAGATATTTATCAGCATTTCTGCCGAATAGTTTTGTTTTCAGGAACATTTTAAGAGTATACAATGACTTCAAAGTAAACATATCAGAAAACAAGAAAAAACGACGTGGGTCGACGAAGTTTTGGAGGATTTTGAAGGGGTTAAATATAAGCATGTTTAAATGTTGATTTCTGGTCCTTATAACCGGATAATATAAAAGTGTATATATACAATTGTAGCTCAGTATGGTATCTATAAACGCATTATATTTTGTTGTAATCGGCACATCAACTTGTAGAAATAAAAACAAATTCCATAACCTGTGATATGGTGTACCAATTTGGGTACTAATTACGGCCGACAAACGGACGAAATCTCACTCCGAGTTTAGCGTATTGTTTACAAAAAACAAATTACTTAGATACAAAACTTTTCCTGGAAATGAACCACCATAGGTAGTCTTTGTCAAGAATCAAGAAACATTCCAAATACAAGATTTGAATTTTTAAAGAGCACTAAAAACTGTCAAAATTGTACCAATTGTGGTAGCGTGACGTTATACAAAATTAGTCTCCTTTGCCAAAGGGTACTCCAGGCCAAACTTGAACAAAATCCCCCCAATAGTACAAAAAGAGAAGGATTTAAAAAATGTAATCCTCAAATTCCCATTTTGAGCCCCGCACATCTGCAATAAGAGGGGCTACACCCTCCATTTATACACAATTTAGTCCCCTTTGCCCAAGGATGCTCCTGGCCAAAATATGTAATATACCAGTAACGCCATTAAGGTTATGAATTTGAACAATATCATAGAGCCCGCACTCACATTAATATTTATGTTTGGAAAACTATCATCAAGCTGTCTGCTGATTCGAAAATTCCACAGAGGACTTTTTTGGCAATGTACAAATGCGTCGAGTCCGCGGACAATACGCAAGAAATTATTGTATGTTCAAGACAAAGGGTTAACAAAAAGGTAAATATAGGTTCAACGGTTCATGACAACGTTAAATTAAAACAGTATATCGTTTAAATCATATATTTCCGTTTGTAAAGGTATTTCATAGTCACGGGAATATAAATGGTCTGTTATTTTAAAGCTTGTTTTCACTGATGTCTATATAACATTTACTTAACATACAGGTTTGTTCATTCATTAAACTCAGTCAAGCACTAATCATATACCACGTTTCGTCCTCATTCGATTTTACAAAATTACATAAGTTTAAACATTTCAAATATATATTTCATTCTTTTATCATTCACTGCATGCCTTGTTAATACACAAATGACGAATGATTAATTTATGTGTATGGCATCTTCTGTCACAAATGTAATGCTAATTAATACTACTACTAATAAAATGAATATATACGCATATTTATTGTAAAAAAATATAAACGAAATAAATATCTCCTGATGGATGGAGTTATGTAGTGAATAATGTATTAATATTTCGTCGTCATAATATAATAAGAAATTACGTCATGATATTGTGACTTCTTAATATGACCAATAAACATGAAGGTTGTTTGCTTGTCTTGAGCATGATATCATCGGAACAACCAAGGTCATATGAAGACGGGTGCCCACAGAGACGCAAAATAGTTTAACAAGTGTACGCTCATTTGAAAATCTAGAGTAATTTGATTGATAATATATATTTATAAATATAAAAATTGGATAATGGGAACAATTCAGTATCAAGTTCGCGGTAAAAAGATAACGATCAATATCCTGCTTGCATTTTTAATTGATAATTAAGATTATTTATTGCTATCATTATGTCACAAGAGTAATGACGTAATGCTCGATTCGTCATGATTAATATCCCATAACTGCGAAATTATATCAAATTAATAAGCGTATATGTTCAAACATAAAACTTCTAAAAGGTCGTCATTCTAATGCAAAAAAGGAATACTCCATGTACAACTTGAATATTTTAAAATGTAAAATGCGTCAAGTAGTTTTTGTACACAGCGAATATGGGTCATACGGGGTTATACTGTACTATTTATATACGCGGCTAACCAGGAACTTTAAAGATTTCTTACACCTTATCTAGATGTTTACACATATAACCACAAGTCCGTGCGTACTCAGTAATGGCGTATACCCTACCTGGTGTTGTTGTATTACTACAACTTCTGACAGGTAAGTTTATCTACATCTCCCTGACAGAGATTACTCGTTACCGGTACATACACGTTGATGTCCTATGTTTTCAATCACGAGAGTAGTACTCATATGATATGTACCACACGAAGTTTCACACATGTATAAGTATGACGTGACACACAGCTATGTGTAATTGTTGACACTGTTCTAAACGTCATGTTGCATATCCTCCTCAGACAACCGAAAATGTTACAAAATCAAACCATGTAGGAATGCATGTCTCCCTTGGCCCGACAAACATACCGTTTTATGAATTGATATAATACTCCGTAAACACATCGGCTAGCAATACTTAACACAGTATTTATACTATGCTGTTCAGCTGATGATTAGTCAAGCAACATTGCACTAACGTGCGATTGACTGTAATACACATGCCGTTTAAATTTCCCAGTACCATTATTTAGAGGTGTAAGTTATATATAAGTTCAAACCGTCATTTTCAATGGCAAAAAAATGAACCATGAACAGCTCCGGTTTGAGTTTTCAAGACTACTTTATTCTCCTCTATGAAGTAATATCCGACATGTATATCAAGAATGGACAGAAATGATTAAAACGAACTTTAAGGAAAGATTATTTTACGAATAATAAAATATAACTTGACTGTATTTCTCGAGTGCTAACTAGTAAAGCATCACCAAAATATTATGAAATTTATAAACATAGCTTTACAAGCTGTTCAATAAAGTGTCCATTATACTTTGAACAATAATTAAGTTTGTAGAAGTTTAAAAACTAAAACTAAATCTCCGTACAGCAGTTGTGACAGCCAGCATAATTGATAAATGATATATGGTGTATTGAATCACTATCGTAAAACCTACTAGTATCTACTGTATTACCAGAGACATTTAGAAAAATGTCGGTTGTATTGCTATCCACGCTTTTCTCCAAGACCACCTGCTAGGCCTTCGGTCCTTTTGAATATGAGTATTTGCTGATGTAGTGTGTGGTGATTATTTAAGTCTATACATTGCTATAGTTGTTTCCGTGGGATCTATATTTGTGTCTTTACGCTTCGAGCTGTGTACATCTTCAGTTTTTTAAACAATCCATGATATAAACTTTTTATTTCCAGTAAATTTAGCAAAAGGAGTTAATGTAAACATAACTCCATCCCCTGTTGCCACGGTAACGGATGGAGACGTGTTGTGGCTGACCTGTACATATGACCTTGGAGGAGGAACACTGGGGCAGTTACAGTGGAAAAATTATGACGGTGGAATTGTAGCAGCCGTCACTCCGACAGCTGGAACTCCCTGTACGGTCTCATCGTCCGGCTACAACATAGACTGTGACAACCTGGCCTCTAGTGAAGTCAGACTGGGCATACTTACTCCTAAACATCGTGATACCTACAACTGTAGTGTGTACCTCTCCAACTACACACTGATAGGTCAAAGTTCAAGACATGTGTCTGTTATTGGTAAGTATCTTTTATCGTTTCATATGCTTGAAATAACATCATCATCGTAAGATTGACATAACGCCACTCACGGTCAGTTACAAATATAACCATGCTTCTTCATTATGTTGTGAAAAAGACGTAATTTTCACTTCAGCACAAACAAATTGAACATGTTACATTTCAAATCAGTTAAACTTCACTTACTTCTATAAACACATCCGTGATATATAAGTTGCATACATAAAATTCCATTAAATTCTGCAGTTTTCAAAAGATAAATATTGTATACAAATAAGTTGTAAGAATTTATACAATGTCGTTTTTAAATTGAATGTATCTTAAGATTATGATGTTTAAGATGTTGAATAAGATACTCTTTCTGCTTACCGTTGTGTAATACTAATTCTGCATCGGTTTTTTTTATACAAGGACTAAGTGTAACAGTTAAAGCCTGCAAATACCAAAAATATCTATAAACATTGTCCAATCAAATGCTTTTTATAATTTTAACGATTATTGCTAACTATGTGCTACATATTTACATTATAAAATGTGGAGATGCTACAATTATCACTTACAAGATTGAGTGAACATTAGGCTTTCTTCAGCAAGTTAAAATAACCTTTTTATGTCAATGATCTCCGCTGATCCTCACACTGTCCTTTCTGCCATTTGATCGATGACAATACTATTGTAATATAATTTATACTTTTGTAACCTACTGTGGTAATGTCTGTATTACAACGGTAAAATGACTGCTGATATCAGAAGATAACAGTTTTAGCATTATATAGAGCCATAACTGATGTTACGCTTCAAATAAGAGCGGTAAGTATTATATTTCGTGGGGCATTTTAACGGGTAAGTAATTCAGAAAGTCAGACGAATCAGGCAAGAAATGTTATACACAACCAACGCAATTGTACTGGCATGTGCCTAGAAACTAGATTTTAGTCTTATTTTTACATTATACATACCAGAGACAAAAAACAATGCATAGTTGTCTAAACATTTAATTATAAACATCGGAGAAAACATACAGGGAAGAGTTGTCAAAATAGTAACAAAATACGCATCAGAGTCAACAAACAAGAAAAAAAAACGGTACTTAAGACGATACAAAAAGACAACCCGTGATGAGTTGATATTTATTTTGAAAGACTTATAGATATGCTGCGTTCTTAATTAAAAAATGTTATCCTGATGGTTTATACCACACAGGAGTGATTATCTTGTTTTCTCCCACACTTTCCCACCGTATCAATAATACGATGGTTAACCCAATGCATCGCTCCACCGTCAAGAATGCATGCAATTTACAAAAAATGTGATAACGTTACCAGAGTAACACCGCAAAATGTGATGACGTGATGGTGACGTTTTCAGAATAAAAGTGGGTGAGAGTTGCCTTCACTTAATAGGTACAGACAGTTATCTTTTTAATAGCAAAAACGGTACGGTCCTCGTGACGAGTGTGAGATACTTTAAACTGAATAAAAAGGAGGATCCGACGCAAGTAGACTGGAAACGTTTGCTGTTTCATGTATAACATCCGATTTTAAAGACTTTTTGCAGTATCTTTAGATAGGCTCTACAGAATTTCAAATTAATAAAGTTGTGATATATAAATGCATTACAATACATTGCAATTTTTTTATATTTAAAATTAACACGCTAAAAGAAGACGACAATATTATGTTTATCGATTATCTCATTCTATAACAATAATAACCAACGAAATACTATGTGCAGATAGCGCCATCAATATCATTGGCCTTTGATGACGCCTCGAATTCATCTTAGTAGCATATTTTAGTTTTGTAAATAAATAGACTGTTTTTATTACGCGATTGTTTCCAATACTCAAACGATATGAGATGTAAACGCGTGGTCCCTTTCTCACAACAGTGTTTTATTGTGATTTCTGGGGAGTTAGAGTGTTAGAGTGAAAACGCTTATGGATAACTTTTTCCTAGGGATGTAAAATAGTAATCTTCCCTCGTTATTTCGAGGGTTAATAGCCGTTGCAACTGACTTTGCTAGAAATCAGGTTATCTCAATCAATGCTGTACCCGGAGCCTGAGACCGCACATGGAGACCGTGCTGTAGGAGCGACAGTTGCTACAAACCCACCGTCATTACTCTGCCACTGTAACTGTCCCAGTGTTCCTCCTCCAAGGTCAAATGCCTGTTATTTATTACTTCTTACTGTCATCAGGTGTGTAAATCCTAAATGATTTGCAATATAGGTAAACAGCAGATAAATGAACGTGTAGGTATACAGCAAATAAAGTAACGTGTGGATAAACAGCAAATCAAATAACGTGTGGGTATTCAGCAAATGAAATAACGTGTGGGTATACAGCAAATAAAAGAACGCGTAGGACGATAAGCAATAGTGTTACACATAAACGTTAAAACACAAAACGTATGAAAATGAAAGCTGACAATACTTACCGTAACATGGGCAGATAACTGAACAAGTAAGTTTTAAACCATAGGAAGTAAAATGGCGTTGATCATATCCCGTCTTGTTCTCTTCCTTGTCTTTATCAAGATCTCTGAAGGTATGTAGTTCTAAATATTATTGAAATCATTATGAAATTAGTTTTTGATGTAGTCATATATTCACTTTAATGTCGATACCGATAAACTGTTTGTTGTTATATAAACTTACACTAGGTCGATATTTCCAGTCTGCTGCATTATATGTGTTTAATAATAGCAAGTTTGAATAAGTCTTAATTGGTTCAATTTTATCAAATTGATATAAAACGTGATGAATTCGAATGTGTATATTGATATGGTAGAGTAACTAATTTGATATTAAAAATCTATATGTATATATTAAGCGATGGATGTAGATAAATGCACAGCCCTTCATACTAAAACATTACGTGTGCTTCAGCCCAAACACTGTCGTTGTCAATGACGCCATCCTCCCCAATCCTGGAACCCGAATTGACTTTCACGTGTTCTGTCGGTATGGACATCATCGAGAACACGCACATATTTTACAAAAGAAGCACATTCCTAGTAGGAACGTTCCTAGTAAACAGTACATCTTGTGTCTCTACAAAAACACAAGGAGGTCAAAATTACACATTCACATGTGGTTTATTTCCTGTCCGAGAACTGTTGCTAACAATTCCTGCTGCACACGTCACAGGAGATGAACAGGGAGCAGATTGGATTTGTGATGTATTTCTAAGTGGAGTCATCAGTAACATAGTTCACCTGGAACGTAGTGGTATGTTCCATTTCTGTTCTTTTATTTTCACTATACGAATGTTCAATATCTATAGTACTTACCAGGTTTAACGTTGACAGAACCATACATTGTTATGTAGTGCGAGTGTCAGAATCATTTATTTACTCTTGGAACTTATAATCACTTTTCTCGTGTAATCGCAAAAAATATTCATATAATAATAATAATAGTATTAATTCGAGGTTCTGATATACCGCTTTATCACAACCTTGTTAGTAGGTCTCTCAAAACGGTTCATAAAATTATTATTTGTGGTTAAAGGGCCTTTGCAACCAGCCAATACATGTCCCAACTCCATGGGGAGCATACAGCCGGTGCTGCCATTTCGGCGCTCACAGCTAGCATGCTCCTAGCACTGCTTCACCACGTACTCATTTATAGCTGAGTAGAATAGAACGAACGGAGTAAGGTATCTTGCTCAAAAAAACAACACAGTACAATATACAATATACTATTCCATAATGTTACAATCCAGTGAATAGTTGTGTTATATATAGTCTTGAACAATATTTGTAATACCATCACAATACAATGGTAAAAGTATAATCTTACACACTACCCAGACACCAAGCGTCATTGCACCAATACACTGCATACATTTAACAAGATAATACTGTAACTTAAAAAGTGAGGCCAAGTGTTCGTTAGGTGTAAATGTTGTGACGGATGGCGCATATCAAAAACAGAAAGCATTGTTTTTCTTTAAAACGTTTTCAACAGAAACATATTGTATGTCTCTGAGTTAACTGCTAAATAAAAGTATAAAAGTAAATTCAGACTATCTGTGTGTACATCAATCATGGTTTTAACTACTAACTGTTCGATCGAAATTTAGGTATGAAACTATTCAATTTCTTTTATCAAATTATGGTTCCTGCAACTACCAGATCAATCAATCAATCAATAATCAATAGTTATAACCAATAGAGCACTAAACATTATATATATGTATGCTTTCACGGCGATACTTATATTATTCTGGATTACAACCAGGTATGTATTTAATTTCTTAACGTCCCGACCTTAACGTCTGAGTTCATTACGAGATTACAAATTAACTTTAAATGAATTTTCAGGAGAATGAAACCATTGTATCAAACCTACAATCGGACATCACAATACACTATCAAAAATACATAGTTAGACCCACAAATGCGATTATAAGCTAAACTGAGACTGGATATTAAACCATTGGCTATGCTATCTAGGCTGTTAATATACCAGAGAGCATAGAGACAAGTAAAAGTCCTGAAATAAAATTAATATCTGAAGAAGATCATTTCCTCAGAAATTGATATATAGACATTTGAAGTTTCAGAAAAAAACCTTTATTTGCTTTTAGAATTATACTTCAACAAAGAAGTCACACTCTCAGGCCGTTGTATAACAACCCATACCTTTAACGTAAATAGACAAAGAATAATATCTAACATAAATTTATATAACCCTAAAATGTCATCTTTAGACCACATTAATATATGTAACTTTATTCAGTGTGAAATCACATCTCAATATCTCAATCTCAGTTCAAACCCTGAATGTATACTCTCATCTCAAACTATATAGATTTCAATGTTTTGTTGAAAGAAGCCGTACATTTTTAATTAAATTAATATTTTCTAGATTAGCTAAGACGTGTCTAATCAAATGTATCAAACCATCAATAAACCCTGTTATGTGTAATAAAAACTGAAATATTCTTTAAAAACACATACTGATAGGAAAACGCTGACTGTCAGTTCCATCGACTATCACTGGTGAAACAACCATTGGAAATGGTAGGAATTCCCTGTCGCTTATTCTGTTCCATTTCTCGGAACAGTTATATTGTGATGTCTGGAGAGAGATATTGTTATTGCCTTATGGCTGCTTTCGACAGCTTATTCCTGCTGAAAACGCTCAGGGAGAACTTTTTCTTGGAGACATAAAATAGTTATCTTCCCTTGTTATTGCGTGGCCATTATCCGTATGTGTTTAATTCGTAAATTATCACAATGTAGGTAAAGAGATTATAATAGTTCATAAAGGTATACATCAATTATAAGAACATGTAGGATGATAAATAATGTTGTTACACCTCAAGTGACTTTCTAGCTATTTGATTGGTTGGGAGAAAATTAAACAACAAACTCTGTCACCCTCCGAAAATACATTGGTTTTAAGGGGCGCGGGTGATATTGCCATAAGACAGTGAAAAATATCACATGCGCGAAAAATATGCGTTCACCGCTTCGTTTCCCCACCGTGATGGTCACAAGAACGTTTGACGGCAACAGCCAATTTTATCAAGCGCCGGTGCGATAGCGATTGTAAACAGCAGACTATCAACAAACATGATGTCATTATCGATGTTTGCTGCCGTTTCTGAGCTACAAAGACTTTTGGTGTAACAAAATAGATATGACATTCATTAGCAGGTGACAGTGAATATTGTCAAC